GCAGGAATTTGAGGGTCTCTAAGAGCATCCCTCACTCATGCTGCTGCGTTTCCCATCCATCTCATGGCAATCAGTAAACCTCTCTCAGTAATTCTCCAGGTATTCAATAGTTAAAGAAATATTTGGCAATGTAAAGGCAAGTGTGTGTAAAAACAGTAGCAAGTTGCTTAAAATAAGCATGAAGTGGCAATGCTGAGCAACAGAGCATCCACAAAAAAACCCTGATAGCAATAAGAGAATACAAATAGAAAATATAGTGTTTTTCCTTCAAAGACTAAAAAAACAAGCAAATAGAAATAGAACTTCTGGCTGCCCTGGCCCTGCCCTCAGGTGCTCCCTGGTGCATCTGCAAGCCCCTGAACTCTGAGTGTGAACATGGAGAACTGAGTGTTTGGAGGTGATGGCTGCTGCTGGTGCTGAACCTGCAGATGGAGCACGGCTGAGCAGTGCAGTGTGGGAGGACGGCAGAGGAGCCCTCCACAGTTCTTGAGGCATTAAGCAAGCATCAAGTGAGCACACCAACGGCCAAATATCTTCTGGCACCCCAGAAACTAATTTTACAGTGGGAATTTTCACTGCAGCAGCCCCAATGGGTTAATCAAAAATTAACACTGCCAAGTGTGTTGTGCAGACTTAACAAGTGCACACACACACACACACACACACACACACACACACACACACACAGGGTCTAGCAAATGTTGATGACACAGCAGTCTTTTTTTTTTTCCTCCTTCCTGGGAAATACCAGTGAAAATTAAAATTAAGGACTCTCAAATTCAGTGACCTTCTAGGAATGCAGTCATGACATGGTAACTCTTCATTCCCCTTACATGTAAGGAAATACAATGCAGAGTACAGCCTCCAGCATAATATAGTATAGGAGTGTAGTTATGCTCTTTGGAGTATTTTCAATCCTCATGCTTTTTCTTAATTTTAATGAGTTGCAGAACTGGGGACCTCACTTAAGGGAGACACTGATCTAAAAATGGTTGTGAGCTTGACACCTTATTCTTCAGTCAATATGCTTACTCAGGAAATGCCATACCCAGCAAAATGAGCCAGCCCTGCTGAATGCCTAGGAAACTTAGCAGATGGGAGTTTTACAACGGTACATAATTTACAACAATTTGATTGCAGCAAACGATGGATAATTATGGGACAGATTTTAATCTCTCACTCTGCAATTCTGAAAATACCGACAAGACAGCCCTTCACTTCAAACACCTCTGTAAATACCACTTTATATGATAAATGGACTTTCACATGCTCATCAGGAGAAAGCAAAATGTGTGTTTACACTGCTCATGCTCACACACGCATATGGACCTGAAAATAAATCTAACGTTTAGCTCACATGGTTTATTCATAGGGAAATGAAGCATCCAGCAAAGGCCTACTGGTACAGAAGGAAACCGTGAAGACCAACAACCGTGCTACTCAGCTTGTGCAGCAGCTCAGTAATATGAGGGATAATATTCAAGGTAAACAGATTTCTTTCTGGTTCAGCTCAGTGTGAAGCATGTATTAATGAAACCTCCAGCAAAAAAATGGCACAGCACCTGAGCACTCTCGCAAAGCAGCCCACACATAAGGCTCTTGCAGCCTGCAATGCCATGACAAAAACTTGTCTCTCTTAAAAGACAACCGACACCATGGGCTACCTTGGTCTGACATCCAGAACAAGAGCTTTTCTTTCTTTTTCTCTTTTTGACAAAGCAAACTAATAGTAAATAGGTTTACATTAAATAGTTTAACCTAATTCAGCTTGTAGCCTTTGTTTGTTTGAGTAGCTGCTCAAGGTATTTACATATATTTGTGGTAAAAAGTCAGTATGAGATTGGGGCTGGATGGAGCCACAAACACAAGCACAGGATAGGTGATGAGAGCACTTTGTGTCTTATTTGTCAGCAGATTCATACAAGTGCACTTTTCCCATCCTGCTGATAATTAAAGGAGACCATATGAATAGCTAGATAGATTTTATTCTAAATTGAGCTTTCTCTTTTGAACCTATGAAAGTTAGGTCTGACTAGCTCTAGTGATCACACCAGTGAGTGTTACTTTAAATCCAGTTCTTGCCTTTTAGCAAACTGTTGCTGAGTAAGATTGTGCTGGTTCATATAACTTCATGCAGATGCTTCTAAAAAGAAAAGGATGCTGAACAGTAAATAATTTGGTGAACTTACTGCTTCCTCAAGCTCAGTGTGGGAGGCGGTGGTGATTTTCTTTTGAAGCTGCTTATTGGTTGATCTGACCAGAATTTCCAATTGAGTTTGCATCCCGACACATAGAATCATAGAATCAGAATCACAGAATGGTTTGGGT